TTTGTGAGGTTCAGTACAAAGTATCTGCCGGCTTCTAAGTATCCTCCAGAGCTGAACACGTGGAAACTCGTGTTGCTCCATGCTTGGTTTCTGTATTTGAGAGTACACGTATCACAAATGTCAATCAGCGTTCCAAATAGATGAAAAATAACCCTCTGTGGTAGATACGCACGTACAATGATTTGGGAGGACAGATTTTCAGATTTTCATTGTCCCTTTTTTTTTTTTTTTTAAATTTAATATAGTTTTACTACAGTAAGACAGAGAGAATTTTGCTTGAGCTTGGATGTTATTGTCAGTTGGCAAAACTGAATGTTTTATTTTTAATGAATAAAAAAATAAAAAGAGTAAATTTTTGCTATAGCCATTAAGTCAGGAACAGGCTTACTGCGACTGAGGTAGCTAGCTGAGCTGCTTCGTACATCGTCACGCCATAGTTATTCTGTGATATTCATTTCATGCACTAGGAAAGAAAGCAGTTTTTTTTTCCTGGACTTGGAGCGACTGCGATGGCTTTGAATACGGTTGGGAGAGAAGGGGAAATGCCCGAATGGTCCTTTTCCTCGTTTGATATTTGCATGTGTAATAAAGGCTTAGCCGCAAGGCAGCCCTGTAAATGAAAGACTTGTAAAGCTCTGCTTTGGTTACAGCAGGGCATGGATCTGTGATGTTGAACGCTTTGACATCTCTTAATAGATTGTATTTTATATTTAAAATACTCCCTATGCTCCCTGGACAGTATGCCCCTGCTTTTGGACAGCAGCAATCTCCCTTTTACCAGGATTTTTGGGAGGGAGGAGCGAGGTTGAACTTCGATACCGAAGCCATGGCCATGCCACTTGGTCTGTGAGACTACACTTTGTTCTGCTTTAAAAAATATGTAAATCTAGAGAATTAGGTAACAGGTGACTGTTTCCATACTGAACGCTGCTTTCTCTTTCTTTGCAGCTATCAATTTGGACAATACAACGCATGTAAGACTAGTTATTGGATCTCAGATCGCAGAAGAGTTCAGGGAAGCCATATACACGAGACTCTGCCTCACAGGCTGTGCAGGAGTGGCCTCTAACAAATTACTGGCTAAACTGGTGTCTGGGACCTTTAAACCGAATCAGCAAACAGTTCTTCTGCCTGAAAGCTGTCTGGATCTAATGCGCAGCCTTGATCATATCCAAAAAGTGCCGGGTAAGTGTGGTGCTATGAGTGTAGATGGAAAGCATATCGACAGCTCTTGAGATGACAAGAAAAATTACTGAAAAAAATGATAGCTGAAATAATTTTAAAATCTGTTTTTCACAAGCAGGTAGCAGGGTGTGCAGGTGTGTGCTTTTTTTTTTTTTCATAAGCTGTTTGAGTTTTGTGTAGCAGAAGGAATGAAAGGACTTTGGTTTTCTTAATTTTTGTTTGTGACATAAGTGTGTTGCAGCACTTTAGAAGATACCTTCAAAAATAATAAAATCTTTTGGTTTTTACTGAAGCCCAAACATTGTGGTTGATACTAGGTTTTAATAGGAAGTTTTTTAAACTTGCTGATTGGAAACCTACTGGCAGTTATTAAAACAGTCCATTAGAGCCTGACAGAATACTCTGAGGAAGTACTTTTTTTAATTACTTTACACTGACTCTGTGCTGTTGGCCAGGAAGCCTTGATGTAGGCTACAGACACAGGCAGACCTTTGCTGCGTCTCGCTGTGGCTTTTCTAATGGCAGATTCTAAAACTTGAATGGAAACTCACCGAAAACGTCGCCGAAAAGCCTGCATTGCAGTAGTGAAAATAATTGTCAGTACTACGTGGGTGGGAATTTTTCATATGTATGTGTATATATATATTTTCCATTTTCTTTGTGTTTCTAATACATTTTGTATTTAGGCATCGGCTACAAAACTACCAAACGTCTTGAAACGCTGGGTGTTAGGAACGTGTGTGATCTCCAAGCACTTCCGTCTGCTGTGTTAGAGAAGGAACTCGGTGTTTCGATTGCTCAGCACATCCAAAAACTCAGCTATGGAGAAGATGACTCTCCCGTGACTCCATCAGGCCCTCCTCAGGTACAAGGCTTGTTCTGAAGTACTTTATAAAGAGCAAAAAAAAGTTGCTTTTACTTTTATAGAGCTTTGCTGGACCATTTTTGTATGTATTCAGTGGAACTCAAATTTACGTGTACTTCTCCTGAAATTCAGTTGGGGTCTGAGAGTCAAAGTAGATAACTTTTTTTTTTTCAATTCTACACACTTAATTGTGTTACATTTTTTCCTCTTGAGAATTTTGAAGTAAACATAAAATTGAAAGGACTAATGTGTTTTTTTTAGTCCTTTAGTGATGAAGATTCCTTTAAAAAATGTTCATCAGAAGTGGAAGTTAAAGAGAAAATTGAGGAACTGCTTCCTAACCTATTAGACAGGTGACTGTCTTCAGTAGCTATTTTTGACGACTGAATTTGTGACCTGAAGGGGCTTGGAGCGTATGTTAGGTTTGTCTCATACTCTGCGTTTCTTCTATCAACAAAATGCATTTATAGGGACAGCACCTGCCTCTCCAGCTTCCCCTTTGGTCCTTTTTTCCCTCAGTTCATGGATTGTCCTGCTGTATTGCCCCCCTTTCCTCTCGCCCCCAGGCTGGCTGCCAGCCCTTCCATCCTGTGCAGCTTCTCTGATAAAGATCTTTGCCTATTCCATTTGCTGATCCTTCTCTGTTGCTTTGGTTGTGCATCACAATGTTTAGTGCATCTTCACTGATCTCTGTGAAGGACCCTAGGCTTGCTTTCTCCTTCCATAAATTACCTTCTCTACTTTGAGACCCTTGGTGATCACCATTTATGCATGTCTCTGTTCCACAGCTCATTTTTCTGTCACTCTGAAAGAACATTTCCATTTCTTCCTCCTTCCCTTGCCCTGTGAATCCAGGCAGCATCCAAGCCCAAGACACTTGACCGGCATAGCAGGAGGATGCACTTACTCGTGTCTTGACTACTGTGACTTCGCTATCCTCCCTTTCTGTCCTGTGACTCTCTTTACTTAAACCAAAAAGGAGCAATATTCTAGCAGGACTGAACTCCGTTTCCTGTTCTGCCACACTTCACCTTCTGATTTTTTAAACCCTCTTTGTGTCAGTCCTGAAGCCTTTCTGTCTCCCATTAGTTCTTGATTTTAACTTTTTTCTTTAAATATTTTCATATTCTCTGCATGCCTCTCCAGCCTTAAAACAACATACAAGTCTTAAAGGTTTTCTGTCCCCACTTCTATGCAAGTCTCACAACAGATATTTTCATTTTAGTTGCATTAACATTGTGGGCAAGCAGTCTTCTATCTGCATCTCAGACATTGCTCAGACATAATGAAATTCGTAGTGAGGCTGTTTGTCCTATCTTGTTTACAACATGCAGAGTTCAGAAATCTTTTTTTTTTTGGTAGGGAAAATACCTTCCCATGCCGTTTGGAGGGGGAAAGAAACAATTATACTCTTCCTTCCAAAAGTCAGCTACCCTTTTGCTGCTAAAGCAGGGATGTTTCTTTGAAAAGAAAGAGCTGAGGATTATACAGGGTAAAACTGCAAAGATTAAATTACTTTTAATGTATTGATATATTGAAATGTGTCAATATTGCACACTGAACCATTTTCATTTTAGTTTCATCTGAAAACTCTTGGGGACAGTATTGAACTTGTCTTGAACTTCTGAGTAATTAAAGGAACCCGCTAGGACCCAAAGTTCCTTGTATAATCCTCAGTGGAGTAAAGCCAGAAGCTGGAAGATCTGTAATGCTTAATTTGACTTTGCAATCTAGATGCTTTGGCAGTTTGGCTCGCAGGAATACTTATTGCTTTGTGCACATTAATGCTCTGCAGAATATCCAAAGATGGAAGACAACCACACACCGTACGACTGACCATACGGCAGTTCTCCTCAACCGATAAATGGTTTAATCGGGAGAGTCGTCAGTGTCCTATTCCACCTCATCTCATTCAGAAATTTGGAAAAGGTAAACTTGTCATTTTTGAAAGTCTCAACTTTGTGCTGCTACCACCTAACTTCTCTGTAAAATTCCATTACTTAATGTCATGATAATATTCCCTAC